ACAGAACTGAGACCACCAGAGTGGTACACTGGGCCCAACAATGGGTGAGGCTCAGTGGACTATGGTGGAGAATCATTGATATTTTCTAAATATGATGTATTAATTTGAAGAGTATGAACCTTTACTCTTAAAGGTGTTTGTAAACCACTGTTACCCTCAATAAGACATTTCATAAACCCCAAACATTTTGAACATTTAGTTCTTTTTCCCATGACATTTATTTAGGACCAGGGATGAATAGACTTTTCCACCCAGGTCACCCGCATCTCTGCTGTATTAGACAAGTTACTTGTAGGTGATCTGTTAGTGTTTTCTTTCTATTCCGGGACACAAAGTGAGAATGAGCATCAAAGTGTCTACCTGGTATGACAATTTATTAGCCAGGCCTGGAATCACATACATCACTTCTCACATTCTGTTGGAGGAAGTTGGTTGCATGGCCTTATCTAACTATAGAGAGGCTGGGAATGTATTGCCCCTGGGGATGTGGTACTTTGTTCTTGTGAAAGAGGCAAAATGAATTTGGGTGGACAGTGGTTAAATTTTCATAGGTGTCCTGTTACAGCTCCAGTAGTTCTTTTTGAATGTGGGTTAATCTACACAATTTTAGGCAGTAAAACATAAAAATGTGCAAAATGGCATAAAACAGAAGTTCAAATAAACCGCTCAGCTTTTGTTAATGAGAATATATGGATATTCTCCTATCTTGGGCTCACAATTAGAGTAATGATCCTGTTTTGACTAGTAGCATTCCACACAGCCTTCAGATAGAGCTGCTTATCTATTGAGAGGCAGTGGGGGTTTTGTTTTGTTTTTGAAGTGTCCCGTATAAAGGATTTGTCAGCATTTGACAGTTTTAGAAGACAAATGTGTTTTTACTCCGGGGTTTTCAAGTGCTTCAGTGGTCAAACAGGTTTTGAGACTCATTTTCAATGTCAGAACAGGGAAGAAAGGAAGAAATGAAAATAAATTACACAATCAAAAGCTAAGTCTTTCAAGACTTTTGCTCATTTTAGATAATGAGGTTATTGTTATAATTGATGAGGTGGTATTTAAAATTCAGTTTCTTCTGACACCCAGAAATTGTCAAAGTAAATTATATTATAGCAAGCCCGTGTTTGAAGTCACTGGGAAGTATTATATAGGGCAGAATTTTAAAGATTATAAAACAGATTTTTTTCTGGTTTTAAAAAGTGATACAAAATTAAAAACAATTTAATTTCACTAAATTATAATAAAAGTCAAAATATGTTCTTTGCTACTTTTAAATATCTATTACCTGTCAAAGATCCTAATGTTCAAAGAATACTTAAAATAAAAAACGTACTAAAACAATTATATAAGAATTCTATTACTTCAGTCTTTAATAAATGAAGAGAATAATGACTATTCTTTTCACACACTTAGAGAACTGTTCTTTTACCCAAAATAGAGTTGGGATATAAAACAGTTCAAACCTTCAAAAAGCATTGAATCAGTATTTTCTCCTCAGTCAAGGACTACTAACAACTATAGAATGTTTGAGCATCTAATAATATCCTCCTTGTACAATGAAAGCATTCTGTATTTCAGCTCTTATTTTGACCTGTCCATTCCATTTTTTCCCTTTTGCCATATCTTAATCTCCTCTCCCTAAACCTCAGGCTTTAAAGAAAGTTGGAGTTTATACACATTTTGTGCCACCCATGAAAATAGGCACTTCCCTTGATGTACTTATAGATCCCCTTGTTAATATCACTCTGAAAAAAATTGGGATAATTGCCACCGGTAACATATTCTCTATCAGCTCCCTATTTCCAAAGGGTATAAGGAAAACCAAGTACTTTAGCAAAGGAACAGTGATTTAGTGAAAGAGGGCATAGGTATTAATTAAACTGAAACTCAGATGTGTAGAGGAAAATGGAAAGTGGAATTATTGTAAATCTTTAGAAAGAAATATTGAGCAACATTGAAAGTGACCCTCTTTGTTACTTTTTTTTTTTTTTTTGAGATTTATTTATTCATACAGAACTGGCCAGAGATGCTGAGGGTGAGAGGGTTCACCAGAGAAGAGTGGGGAGCAGAACAGGCAGATCAATGAGGTATTCTTAGTGCTGTGCTTTAATCTGCTGCGCCACCAGGGAGGGCCCTCTGTGTTACATTTTTAAAAACTCCCATCCTTACAGAGTTCCAGACACAGAGCAAACTTTTTTTAAAAAGATTTTTAGTAATTTATTTTTGTGTAGAAGAACTGAAATGTAGGCCAGAGATGTGAGGGGCAAGAGGACCCATCACAGAGTGGGGACCAGAACAGGTAGCTCTACTGAAATACACTGCTGAAAGAAGCAGCCGGTGAGACTAGAGAAGCAGTGAGATAGGAGAGGTCTGCTGTGCCTTATGTGGATTTACTCCTTGTCTGGAAATCAAATTCAGGCTGTAATGATGGTAGCATTGAGATTTAACCCTTAAAACGTCAGGACAGCCCTAGAGCAAACATTTCTTTTAAAGTATGGTAGGGAGGCCCTTCCTGGTGGTGCAGCGGGTTAAAGCACAGCACTAAAAAGCCAAAGTCACTTCAGCATGAATTCGATCTCCCCTCCCCTCCCCACCCCCTCCCCCAGATGCTCCAGATGGTTCTGCAGGCCTCTCCTGTCCCGCAGGCTGCTCCCCTCAGCAGTGTACTTTGTCAGTCAGCCTGTTCTGCTCCCCACTCTGTCTCTGGTGAATCCTCTCACTGCCCTTGCACCTCTGGCCTGTACCCCAGTTCTGTATGCATAAATAAATAAATCTTTAAGAAAAAAAAAAGTGTGGTAGGGAGCCAGTTGAAAAATTTGCTCCTCTTTGAATCAGGGGAGGTAAACTAAAATGTTCTCACTTTTCATAGCCACCTTTTGCAGTTTTCTGTTTGTCTATCTTCTTTCTATACTTCTCAAAACTTGTATTGATTATATTCTCTTTAAGAAAAAAATCTATTAACATCATCTTTTAAAAAAATCTAACTGAATTAATCTTTACATTTATATAATGAGGTGGGGCTCATTTTCTATTTTTCCTTTTGTTTTTGACTACATTTTAGCCTTAACTTAAAGATTTTCATTTCTTCTAAATTAGTAATTTTCATATAATGTATTATATGAAATACATTATAAATGTATTTCACTGACAATGTTTTTAAATTATCAGGAGTTTGGGCCTTCCCTAGGAATTCATGTTTTAGATATTTAAGAAAAACATAATACTGTTGCACTACATCTTACAATAGGGATTTTGATAATTTGTTGAGGCTTTCCAACAGGAACAAGGATTCTGTGTCATAGATATATCCTTTAGGTAAAGACTACAGTTATGCTTTGACTTAATTAGAGCCATTTTCTAGAAGCTTTTTCTAACTTAAACTTTAGATGCATAAAAATTATTAATGAAAGTTATCACAATTTTTTTCTCAGATCTAGTCTAAAATTAACTGTGTGAATTAACTATATAAATCCACATTCAGAATTCTAATGGCAAATGCAAACTCTCTTTCTAGTTCCTGCAACATCTTCTTATCAGCGAATATTTAATAAAATATTTTTCTTAGCGATTTCAACTGCAGATAACCTTCATTAAAGGTACCAGGTGCTCCAGCACATTACTTGTATTATTTAATCCTCATGACAACCTGTGCAAAGTCAGAGTGCCACCTCCATTCTCAGATGAGAAACTTGAACCTCCAGTAGGGCTATATACTGTTAGTATGTGATGGTGTTAAAATTTGAATTGCAGCATTCTGACGCTACACCCACCATTATATCTACTTTGTTATGCTGTCTTCCAGTTTCTGTTCTTTGGCGAAACCTAGGGTTTCATACTTTAGGAATTCTAAACAAGTTGGCCAAAACGCCATGAATAGAAAATAATGCATCCATCTACCAAGCACAGATTAATATTTTTACTCCAGTTATATGTTTATTTTGAGGAAATTTTTATATATTTCAGTTTCATGGGATAATTATGAACCTTAATTAGAGTAGCTTTGCTAAAGGCTTTTCATAATGGGGAATATATATATATATATATATATATATATATATATATATAGAGAGAGAGAGAGAGAGAGAGAGAGAGAGAGAGAGAGAGAGAGGTGAACACATGTTGCTTCAATGTTTCCTTAATTTATTTTGATGACACAGAATAGGTAGATTGTACTTAATATCCTTTCAGTGCAGCAATTTGTCTTTGCATTCAGTGAAATGCAGTTCTAAATCCCTTAAACTCCTGCTATGTTTTTAAGTCTGCTGAGCATGTATAAATACGTTCTTGTTTGTTTATTTGTAATCTTCCTTTTATGGGGATGACTTACATTCTCTGTGCTGAGTCATCCGACTATCTGGAATTCATTGGCCATAATCACAGCCAAAAAGTCTTAAACTTATGCCTTCCAGTGAGCATTAAGCTCACTCCATGAGCCTAAAATGCATACTATTCAAAACAAGTTTCCCATTTATAATTTTTTTCATTCTAGCTAATAAAAAGATTAAGATTAAATATTGGAGAAAGAAACATTCTTAACTCTGTATATCTTTATGGGTATTTATAGCCTAGGAATTAGGAGTGCGCTACATATAAACCCAGATTACATTTAGACAATCTATATTGACAAGCTGTTAAATAAGTCATGAATGTTACATCTGTTTCTTGTTAGACTTGAGGTCAGAGTCTCCCATTCTAGTTCTAATGCCATCTGATATTTTGACAATCTGTGTTTTGCTATATGAAGTTAGAAGTGTGAATAATAACTAAGAAGGTCAATGCATGGCACAATGATCATTTCTGTGATGTGGTTAGATATTTTCATTTAAGGAGCGATAAAGGTTAACAGTACAATTTTATGTAAGCAGTGTGTAAATACACTGACATAATTTTACTAGCTTTAAAAAAAAAATAGGACCAGTTTAAATCTGGTTTTCCGACTTTAAAGAAAGGAAATCTGTGATTCCATATTTCTTACTATTGCTATGGTTTACCATGTTTTATTATAGAATATGGAAAGTCTCGATTTCATATCATCTCATGACAGCACTGACCCTGAGGCTGTGGCATTAATGTCCAACAAAAGGTAATTTCAGAGATGGATTCTCATTATTTTTAAGAGTATAGAGTTTTTGCATTTAATGTAGTGTGCATGATAAAAACTAAAAGGAATAATTATATGTTTACCTGTAGTATTTTGCAGCAAAGAAATTGGTCAGAATAGAAAATCTGCCCAATTGCTATTAAAGGCAAATAACCATATTCACATTTATGGTTTTAGTTTTGTTTTGTTTTGATTAATATTTTTAATTTATGAAAATTTTATTTAAAGCTACTCAGTTTACTCTTTTTTTAATGATTTTATTTTTTTATTTTTTTTAAAGATTATTTATGCATACAGAACTGGGGTACAGGCCAGGTACCGGCCAGAGGTGCAGGGGCAGTAAAAGGATTCACCAGACACAAAGTGGGGAGCAGAATAGGCAGACTGATGAAATACACTGATGAGGGGAGCAGCAGGGGGTCAGTAGAGGTTTGCCCCACCATGTGGGTCATCTCCCTGGCATGGGAGCAAACTCATACTGAAATGGCTGCAGCCAGCTTCATATTGCTGTGCTTTAACCCATTGATCCACCAGGGAAGTCCCTCAGTTTACTTTTAAAATAAATGAAAAATAATGTCAGTGAATGAAAAGCAATGTTATAAAAGAGACATTTTATATTTTTCATTGTTGTTGCTGTTGTTTATAGCAAAGAAAATGAAAAAGATGGTGGGAACACTCAACATTTGGAGGTGAGTAACCATCAAGCAAAATGGTGTCTGTGATGGAAGCTGTTCATTCACGCATGAGTGCACATATGAATGGTGTTTAGCCTGTTCATACTGGATAAGAAGATAAAAGACAGAACTGCAGTTGGTTAGAGAGGCAAAGGAGACCTAACAATTTTTGGAGAAATTATAGGTACCCCTCAATTCTTTTAGTTTGTTAAGATAATCTTCAGTAGCATGGAAACTTGTTTTTAGATTTTCCATAAAATAAAGCCAGAAAAAACCAAAGCTACTGGATTAATTTCTAACTTTTTAAAGTAATTGAAATAAATTGGTAGTCAGTTTTATTAGCTGTATCAGAGATTAACTCATTAATTTTCAATGTAATGAAAATTCAGTTTGAGTTTTATGTATCATTTAAATAAGTAACAAAAGAAAAATTTCCCTCTCTTGTGTTGTCAGTATCTTAAAGTTTTGCTTACTTTGCTAACTCCCTTGTCCTCTGAGGGTGTCATCATGCTGACCAGGTGTTTGGATTCCCTTGTTCCCTACTCTGGTTTCCATTTAATATACTGAACTTCATTTTTCATCCATGTATGTGTATGTATGTCTCTAATGCCGTCATCAATCTTAAAAGATTTTCTTTTGCAAGAATTAAGGTTTTTCTCAAGCTCTTCTTGAATTCTGATTCTTGATATATTGATTCTAGAACTCTCCCTCTAACCCAGTGGCTCCCAGGCTTTGGTGGGCATTGACCAAATTCACCGATGAATTTATGCAGTAGCATATGTTAATAGCTACTCTGTTACGTGGGAGTTGGGATTTAATATCAGCTGCACTTTTCTGCCCCCATGAAGTTCTACAATCTAAAAGATGAAGACACTGAAAACTGTAAACACTTTTCTTTGAAAAACTTACACACTTACTGGGAAGAGCACAGTGGTAATGGCACATGGGTGAATAGGTGATGGGGGTTGGGGATTGCCCAATGAGATGAAAAAATGCACAAAATGAAGAATGATGTAACAAATTAATTAATTAATTAAAGTTTTTTAAAAAAGAAAAATTTACACACTCTTGTAAAATTTGGCATAAAATTCTGGGAATTTACTCCCCCACATTGTTAAAGACTCCTTTTATTTCTTCTGTTCAGTTCTTGTCCTGTATACTTCCTCATCCACCTTGGCAGGTAATTGCCTCTCTCTGCCTTCAGGGCTTCTTGAGTCACTTCTTTCATCTCTTAGTTCCAGCTCTTTTTAGCATCTTCTGCAGGACCCAGACAACAAAAGCCATCCTTTCCTTGTCTGCACGCACCTTTTTCAAAGCAGTTTCCCCTGATGGTGTTGTATTCTTTCTGTGGTTTCATCCTTTCTCTGCTCTCTTCTTCTGCTCACAGTGAGCACCTACTCATCATGACATTGAGCACAATTTTAAAGGAACACTATTTTAAAGGACATTGCTACTGCCAGCCTCCTGGTGAAGTCTTCTCAGTTCTTCCCTCTTCTACTTCTAGGAGATAAAACAGTACTGAGGAAGCTTTGTGGATGGATGTCATGACATTAACATAAATTCCAAATTCAGATTTAATCCATGCTAAACTCACTTTCCTGTGGTATTTCTGCAGAAAGCTCCAAACAGTAGGTAGATCGAACAGTAGGTAGATCGTGGGGGACGAATCTTAAGATCTTTCTTTGTGTGCCAGGACCTATTCTGACTTGTACAGTTGCCAACCAGCAGCTGTCTTACTTTTTGGCAGTGCTTAAGCTCACTACTCCTTGAGCACTCACTAATCATTGTCCTTTTAAAAGTTTCAACTAGGAGATTAGGGTTGTTTCTTCTTGGGAAACATGTGTTTCTTTGCTTTTTGTATTGTGATTTCCTACTTTCTGATTATGTAACCCTTTCTAGAACTTAATTATATAACCCAAATAGTTAATCTGTTTTTCTGGTGATATCTCAAGAATTTCTAAATTTCAGAGGCAAAAAGTAAATCCAAATTTTACTCTCCCTCAACTTTTCTTAGCCAGTATTTGATGCGAAGTCTCCTGTAGCATCAGAATGAAATTGCCAACATTTACATACCCACTAGGAGTAGATATGTTGCTTCCAATTTCATTTCTCATTATTCAGATTTGGTTCTCATTAAGGTTGTCCTTTAAATTTTGCCTTGTAAACGCTCAGATTTATTTAAGATAACAAAGGACAGCTCTTGGAGAAAAGTGTTTTTTTTTTCTCATCTTGACTAGAAATTTCCATTAGAATGAGAAACATTGACTTTCAGCCTCAGAGGTGCCTGTGAGTGGGGCATAGAGATAGCACTGAAGCCAGCCTCTGAAATGCAAGCGCAGGCACAATGCAAGGGTCACCTTATTTTTGAAATAATCATTTTGCAGTTTCAAATGTATTATTGTTTGACTGCCTGAGCTGAAAAGGGGACATGGGTTTATCCCTTTGTATTGTTAATTTCTTTTAATTTTGTAAGTAATCAGACTCTAAAAAGAGAGTCTGTGTGATCTCAGATGATTGAAAAGAGTTTTCCATTTCTCTCTTAACCAAGTTATATTATTTGTACTAAAATTTGTTTAGTAGCACATTGGCAATTTAAAAAAAAATGTCTTTTCAAAATGCCAGAAATTAAAGTATGATTTTTGAGGATAGATTTAGAAAAGGCTGACATGTTACTAGAATATTCTGCTTGGGTACTTTTAACAGTAATAATAGGTTTTTAATAAAATATCCTGAGTGAAATGAGACAGCAGAAGAAAGCCTAGCATGTTGTTCCCTGAATATGTGGAGTACAGTCTTTATAGTTTTACTTGTTTTTAAACTCAATTAATAACTGGAAGTACCCAGACAAGAGATTGTTCTTAAAATTAGCAATTTATAGGTTCTAAAAGATACCATTGAAAATAGAGAGCTTCTGTTTATAGTGAAGTTTAAGATTTCCACTTTAATTTTATTCTTTCTAATAAGGTATTTTCTAATATGGAAATGTCTTAACCATCCATGTAATATCCGGGATAATAAAACTGTAGCCATATACTGAATATCTTTGTCAAAAAAAGCAAAGCAGATAAGATTATTAACTTGATCGAAGGGTATCACATTATTTGGAAGAGGTTATTTTATGTCAGGAGTATAAGGTTAATGAAGTGTAAATTCTTTCAAGATATTTTTTACATTCTTTATACTTTCCAAGCCTACTGCTTAGGAGAGCTTAGAAGCATACCTTTGATAACAATTAAGACATTCATAATAAACAATCAAGACTATTTTTCTTTTTTTATCCTGTTTCAAAATGAAAGGAACGAAAAAAGATGTTAGAGAAAGGAGAGAAGACAGGCTTTCCAGTGAGGGAAGTGCAGACTTTTATTTGCCCTGAGAAGGTTTGAGATAGGTTCTGAAAGATCCCTGTCACCAAATGTTTATGAAATGGGTGACTGCTCTTTTAACTTCAACTGTGTTTCATGAAATCTTAAGGATTTTGTTACTATTATTAGAATCAGAAGAAATTTAAGGCTATCTTTGTTTAGATTCACTTATAATTGTAACCAGCCTTGAGAGGCTACTGGAGCTTTGCAATTCACTTGAATTTATAAATCTGTGTCCTTTTTCTTTTAGTGTCATGCCAAAGAGTAAATGTTTATGATTCCACATGGTTCTCCTGTCAACACTATGTGTTTCCTTCCTGTGCAAAATGCGTTACACAGCACACTCTCTGATATTGTCACCCTAACTCTGGTTAGCTGCCAGAAAAGACATATTCATATCCTAGAAAAAGAGAAAGAATAGAACAAAAATTCACCAACAATTTGAAGCCAGGAAAGGAACAGGATCATTAAAATCTAGAGACAGAGAAAGTGAGACCCAGCTAGATGGGATAAGTCATAACAAAGACTAGACAGATAGTCTAGTCATTAATGGCTCTGTCACCTCAAGATGGACTGTCACCCAAGGCCCCAGGAGAGTGAACTGGCATCCTGTGTTTTTCTTAATAACCTACGTGGCACTTATGCTTACATATTCCGTATCATGTTCTCTTTCTAATTCTTGTAAGCCTAGGGCAGAGAATGTGGTCAGTAAATACTTGCCAATAGAATGAATAAGGCAGGGAGACAGGGTATACATGGAAATTGCCTTTCTTTTACAATTACTGTGGGTTGGCTGGGGTTTTCACTTTATAAATACATTTTTTTACATTATTCTTTATTTTGTACACTTTTTCATCTCATTTGTATTCCCCGTGGACTTCCCACAACTTCAACCATTGCCATCACCATAGTCCCATGTGTTCTTCCCACCCCCAGATTATCTTTTTTTAATACATGTTTTGTTTTAACTTACTCTTTACAATAACTTTATGAAGTCTTATTCCTATATAGGGAAAAGGGGGTTAAACAAATAGTTTACTTGCTAAAGATCTTGTGGCTACCTGGTATGAAAGCTCAGGTTACTGACTTTAAAGCCGGCCCCCTGCTGGCCACACCACATGGTCTCTCCTAAGAGCCAAACCCTCCCTTTCTTTGAGACTATGACTACTTAGTGTGTTTCATTTGGTGCAACATTTTTGACAAACATCTAGTGTGTGACATCACAGGACAAGGGTCTCTGAGTGAAAAATTGTGAAAGTAGTTTATGTGTTCTTTGATTTAACTATAGATAGAATATATATAAACAGTAGAAGTTGAAACCAAAAATATTTTGGTATAGAAAATATCCATGATAGTTAACATTAATGATCTAGCAGGCGAAACAGATGGCAGAGTAGACAAGGTCAGTGCCGTATGAAAGGCACTACGGGCAGGAGGGACAACTTGGAAAGCCGCCTCACCCCCACTAGGGTACTTAATATCTATAATTACTCACATTAAGAGGATTAATATTTAGTATTACAATTATTTGTATTAATGAGTATTAATATTTATATTACAATTATTTGTATTAAATTATAATATCGCTATACTATTTGTAGGAAGAGTAGTGTTACGCTAGCATAAAGCTGTAGAGCCTGAACAGCGTCATCACCACAGCCCCTGACCGGGATCCCCAGCGCCCACATGCACACAAACCCACCAGAAGCCTCTAAGCAAACCCAGGCAACACAACAATGTCAGAGTCACAGGCCAGCAGGGTCAGAATTGGGAATCAGGCCTCTGGGAGCAGCATATAAATGAAAGCGCCACCTCAGAGGCTAAGTGGAGCACAGCAGAGAGGGCAGAGCGTGCGTGTGGATGTGCAAATGGGTGCTGACTTCTATGCGTGGCCAGTGGCTGTGCAAGCTATGGTGCATCAGTGCAGCAGAGGTCAATGTGCTGTGCGGAAAACTGCAAGAAAGACTAGGGACCCCTGTCAGTCAACAGGGGTCCATGGTGTCAGCCACACCCCCTTGTAAGTGACACTGTACTGCAAACACACCTGTCCTCTAGTTGATTCCAGATACAGTGACCTCTTTGCCACTCCTCAAATTTGTACAAATGACCTTGCCTCAGTACCTTTGCACTTGGCTTTTCTTCTTCTTGGAATATTCTACCAAAAGATAGCTCACTCCCAGTTTCCATCCTGTCTCTGCTTATATGTTGCCTTATTGAAAAGGCCTTCCCTGCTCACCCACTGTAAAATAACAGACTTTGGCCCCTACGTCTTATCCAGCTTCATAGTTGTCCACAGCCCTGATAACTTTTTTCTTATTAACTAGCCTCTTCTGTAAGATAAATTAGGACAGAGATTTTATTTTGTCTGCTGAAGTTACCCCAGTGTCTAAAACACTGTCTAATGCATAATAGTTACTCCAAATGATCCCTTCAGTGAATTAATAAAAAAAAAACTTAATCTGTGTATCTCTAACACCAACCTATAACAGCTTTATTCTATGTCTATAATACATGGTATATATTGTTATTGAATAAACAGGTAAAAATGTTAGCTTTCTTTGTTAGAATAAAGGGTTATATAGAGTTACCTAATCCTAATCCTACCCTGGGTGCTCATCAGCCCCTGCAGTCCTGATTTACAGACCTCACTGGAGCACTGAGGAAGGAAAGGCAGTTGCTAATGCACAAGGTGGTCTGTTGTGCCACAAGAGGACCCCCCCGTCTCAGAGCTCTGGAACATACTTGAGGCTGTTCACGCAGCATCAGCACCCAGGGCAGGGACTACAGGCCTCCTAGCCTGAGCGTGGGGCACCAAATGACACTGTTGATGGAAGGATGAAATTCAGACACTTTGGAGAAAGAAAATAAGGGGGGGAATACCCAATTTCAGTTTTTTTTTTTTTAAAGATTTATTTATTTATTTGTGCATACAGAACTGGGGTACAGGCCAGAGACTCAGGGGCGGTGAGAGGCTTCACCAGAGACAGAGTGGGGAGCAGAACAGGCAGATCTACGAAGTACACTGCTGAGGGGAGCAGCGGGCAGGCCAGGAGAGGTCTGGCTCGCCATGTGGTCTCCTCCGGGGCAGGCGGCAGGCGGGAATCGAACTCATGCGGAAGTGGCTTCAGATTCTCAGTGCTGTGCTTTAACCCGCTGCGCCACCAGGGAGGGCCTTCAGTTTTTTTTACTTTGAAATTGGTGCTAATTCAAATGTAGCCATCACAAGAAATACACCATTTCAAATTTCTCAATGCTTGTAACATTTCAGGATTTGTGTGTATCCCATGAAGCACTGCAGATCCCTGAGGCCCCGAGGGGCCATGGGTACCATTCGGAGAGGGGTCAGTGGCTGGTGTCAGGAAAGTATTGCAGCTGCTTTTAGTTCTGTGGGTCTTTCCATCCACATCCATCCCCACCTGCAAGGCATCAGTCTGGGAAACCCTTGTTTTGCCATTATCACTCTGTTCTAAAAGCCTTTGATGGCTTTCCATTGTCCAGTACAGATTAAATCCGAATTTAGCCCAACTGGAGAGGCCTCTCAGCCCAGTCTGTTTACCTGACACTCATCGTAAGCCATCCTTCTTCCTACCTAAAGACTGTCCCTCGAGTCCCTTCCTCTCCCAATTGCCAAGATGCCCTATCATGCCTGCTTTTGGCCCTGTTGTCCCTCCCTTTGACCCACACAATTGCTGGGTCACAATTGCTGTTACTGATTCATGACAGGAGCACAAGAGACTCTTTTCTGCAATGTTTTTGTATGATTCCTTTAAAATGCCACTCCGCCCTTTGCCAAAGCACAGCTCCCTTGAATTGCAGTCATTGGTGCTCTGTCTCTTGCATTTTGAGATGTGGCCATGTTTTACTCATCTTTCTATGATGCCCAAGAAGCAGAGGAATGAGAATTCCTACTGTGTGTCTCCTAGGCTCCAGGCCCTTTGTGCCTTCTCACAGATCTTTAAAGGAATTATTTTAGAGAGCGGTAATGGCAGATTGATAGCATTAATGCCATTTTATAGATTAAAAAAAGAAAGGCTCAGAGGAATGAAGCAGCCAGAGCACTAAGCTAGTAAAAGTAGGTCGCATTGCACAGCCAAGACTGCCGGCCAGCAAGACCCATGCTCCTCCGCCACACTGCCACAGGAGTGCCAGGAGACAGGTTCCTCAGGAAGAAATGCAGTGACCCCACAAGGTCATTGCCCATGGTCTTCCCTTTCTGTGCCTCTAAGATGTGTTGTAAGTCTGAATCGTTTACTTCCTGTCTGCACACACAACACACACACACACACTCAATTTGGTAGCTGACCCTGTAACTTTTAAAAGGCTGAGCTCCAGATTTGATCGTTCAGCACTGGTACGCCTAGGATTCAGATCAAGGAGCCAACTATATTTGTGGAATAGATACATAATCTTCTTTTTGTTTCCCCAGTAGACAAGTGATATTTTTAAAGTGTGTGAACGTCCTAAATTTACTTGTCATTTCTATGTGACTTCATTAGCTCATCATGAACTAATTGGTGCTATTTCATTTCAATCTAAATGTGAAGAAAATACCAGTCCTATGCATCATTTCATGGAAATATAATAGTAAAAAGCCTGACTATTCCCCTGGTGATAGCAAAGTGGGTTGAATAGCTATTAAAAGTAGCTGGAAATCTTAGTAGTGTTTTATTTTAAGCATAAGAACATTTCTCATACATTAATGGAGCCATTTATGATTTCCAGATGTTTTTGGTTTTGTCATTTAATGATGGTATATTTGCTAAAATAAATTCCCAGTTATTCTAAAAGACAATTTTTGTACAGATCTGTACTGCTTGAAAAATAAGTGTGAGTAAACCTTTATGCTTACCATCTTATTTGAGCAGTGACAATGATTGGATTGACAATATACCAAAAGAGCAAGGGGGAAAAAGGTAATTTCATGCAATTTCTTAAGCAAAAAACCCACTTTGCTATAAGACCCTTTGACAGAGGGTCTTCCCACCCCCCAGAGACCCCCACCTGGTGCAGGCACTGCCCAGCAGCACACCAAGGGTGACTGAGTATTTGCTATTCAGAGTAGATGAATAGTAGGAAAAAAGTGACAGTTGCATATTTGTATGATATAAATTATGCATTTCTGACTTGCCAGTTCTTGGCTTTGTACTTTCAAAAAGAAAGGAAAAAAAGGAACTGCTCGCTGTGTAATTTTGGCTCCTTTCCAGAGTCCGTATGCCTTCCTGCTAACTGAGATGAGACGCCAAAGCCCTGTGCTGTTCAAATTTGCGCAACAATGCTTTAATACCCAGAGCTCCTCCATAAATAGTCTGCTCTCTCCACACTGACGGAAAAAACAACCTTAGGAAATCTGGGAATGTGCGACTAGCCCCGACTGATTGATCTGAGCCCGTGGGGAGCAGTCGTGTGCACAGCCCCCATTCCTGGCGTGCAGGATTCTTTACTAAGGGGCAAAGCGGAAGACACCGTGGAGCTACTACAGCCTTAGCAACAGTGGTAGCTGTTTTTTGTTTTGGTTTGTTTATTGTTTAGAATCTGAGCACCCTACTCCTTTAAGGGAATGTAAACTCCTTTCCCTCCTTTGCAGTCCCAATCAGTAACCACCGAGACTGTCAGCTGTCTGTGGTTAGAAGGAAGAACAGCCCGAGGAAATCATCTGTCTTCCTCACAGGAGAAAAGTTACAGGAGCCCAGATGGACAGTCCCTTTTTGCATGCAAGGGACCAGCTAAAATCCAGGGGGCATCCAGTGATGGTTTTGGTTTCTGTGCTGGGTGTATCAGCAGCTGTGGCTTGGGAGGTTCCATTCAAGAGTGGTATTACTGCAGCTGTTTTTCGGTGTTGATGAGCAGTGCTTATTTGGGGACACTGTGCTGTTATTGCAGAGCCTCACCATGAAGATCCAGGATCACCCCAGCCTACCCGATGCCAAACTGCAGAGGTCTCAAGAAGCAGCTGAGCAGCAGGAGAGCTTTGTCTCTGAGGTGCCCCAGCTGGATCTGACTGCATTGTGTGAAGAGAAGAGCTGGGAAGGTAGGGGGACTGAGCTCTGATGATTGAGGGGAGGCATGTAACCCTATGAATGTGGGGGTGAGCAGATGGCATGTGTGCAGAAGTAGCTGTGTTTCTAAATGACCAGAAGTCCTCTCCTGGCTTAGGAATGTGACACATTAAATGTTGCCAAGACTAACTGCAATCTCAGGATGAAAGCATGCTTGCATTTATCAAGTGTCACCTTGCAGTGTTTTTTTGTTTTTTTCCCTTTTAAATGCACAAGAAGTGCTAATATATAACACTTGCCTTAAAGGAGTACCAAGCAGAGGAATCAGGAATTGCTTTGCATTCAGGATTTTATCCTTCAGTATAAATGATTATTCCACTGCTACCTGCCAGGCATCTCCTCCTTCATTAAAGCTCTTTCCCATATATTGAGTTGCTTTGCTTCTATGCTTGCTTTTATGCATTTTCTTAATCCAAGTTAACAAACATAAGGGATTTGCTTATCAAAGACATCATCGAATAAAAGTGCTTCTTAAGAAAAAGGGCATGGGGGAGCGTGTAGGGCTGCAGTACAGTTTTAAATTGTTTTTTTTTTTTTCAGAGATTTTTAGTAAAAACTTTTTCAAGATATTGGAAATTAACTTATAAAGACATAAAACTGTCATCAGGAAGGATATTGCAATAGTTCCATCACACTGCTCTTCCGATCCATGTGTGTATCCAAACATATATCCAAGTGTATCCAAAATAAATGCCTCTCTGCATTTGTGCAATATGTGTACGTGAACTATACAACTTAATGCAATGACTTAGCAGAGTCACAACTATGAAAAACAGTCCTTTCAAAGGCCCATGAAATTTTTGTCTTCTGGTGGTCCCCCTTTTTTAACCACAAAAGTACTCATTATGATAATGATTTTAATCAAAGGACCAAAATGTTATCTAAAAAGACCACAAGTGTGAAAACTATCAACCCATTTGCTCCTCACATCCTGGGAAAGTGAAACCTTTCAAAACAAGCTGTTTTTTATCCTACTCTCCCTCTTTGCAAAATAAGAAATATGTTCTAGTTTTTTGTTTTGTTTTGTTTTGTTTTTCATTTAAGTAGGCAGTGAAACAGATTTTGTCAGCTCTTTCCAGCTTACACTACATTCACTAAATTTAAGAATGCAGGATTTTTGTTTTGTTTTATTTCAAGTGGTACATTCCTGGATACTGTTTGGCTGTTCTTTTCAAGTGTGTTTTTAATTCACACAGTAATGTAACACCCCCCTACCCTCAAAAGTCCCATGGTAGCCACTGTTACCAAAATAAAAGAGAAAAAGCAGTAGTCAAAATAAACACTATGAGTTTCAATTAAATAATCTCTCCATGTCATCAATGGATTTCAGTTAAATGATCTCTCCATGTGATTAACATAAGCTTTAAGTAAAAGCTAAGATTTTTGGTAGAATTCAGTTGGTCACTTGATGATTTACTTTCCTAATGATTAATTCACTTACGGAGTAGATAGTCACACTCCTCCTGAAAGCGACTCACTTTGTTTTTTTTTTAACTTGGTCAATCACACTAAAAGAGGCTAGTGTAAAGCTGAAAATTCACTCCAGAGTAGTTGGAAGCTAATTTATAGTTTCCTTAAAACTGTCTCATTTCTTAATATAAAGAACTTTCTTTGAGACAAATAATAACAATACAAAGGAGCCAATCAACATTTTATTTTGTACTGGAAAAATAGATAGAATTTAAAAAAAAAGTTTATTGGGAAAAAATATGTCTAGAGAATGTGAATTTTGGTATCCAAATAATTTAGGAAATTATTTGCTTTAATGTTTTGTTCCAGTTACTGCATTTGTCACTGAACTTGCTTCTCTTAAAAATCTGTCTGAATTCATTCAAGAGCTGTTTTAATCATAATTATGCTTTCAGTGATCAATTTTATTATATATAATTTTTAAATTTCCAAGTTATGTTATAATTGTTACATAGGTATAAGAACAGTGAAATAAAAGAATTTTTGTATCAAGTGTATAGATGAGAGCAATAAATTCAGTCACTGAAATGTGACTTATTTTATAGCTTCGAGAAGAAACCAACAAAATGGTGGCTTTCCAGTAAGAAATATACACTTTATGCTCACCTAAACTGAATATGAATCATTAGTTATCACAGAATAACTGGAAATCAGTAGCTAGAAGTAGATAGTTTCCAAAACCATGGAAACCAGTATCCATCTAAAATCTCCGTTGCTACTGTCAGGTCATTGTGTAATGGAGTGTAAGCCTCTCCTACTGGTGTGCCTGGTCATTCCCTTGTTCACACTGTAGTTTGTGCTCTCTCATTCAGTAGAATCCTAGGTATCAAATGAGGCAGACCCAGTGAGCAGCCTGAGGGGCTAGTCTCTGTGGTATATGCTTCCATACAGAAACCATGTTCTCTGGCTTTTGAGGCATATCCAATCACAGAAACAACAGGGAGATTAAATTATTAAATACTCCATAAGCTACGTAGAATGGAATCCGTCTTAAAGTGAATATAGGTTCAGAATCAGATTGTGCTTTTTGATAATAAATAATACCACTTTTATCATTATGTATGTATGTAGTGAAGTAAATTTTCCTTCATATATATCTTGTATATAATTTATATATGTGTGAAGTAGGCTTGGGAGTGTGAATTGTCTGTGTGCAAATATAGATTGTGTGTGTTTATATGTATTAGGATACATTTTTTAGTCACAGTTTTTTATTTATCTGCATGACCGTATTATTAGAGTTTGTACACTCCAGAGTTAAAGGAAACACAAGTCAAGTGTACTTTTTTTCTTTTTTAAATCCCTTTAGAGTTGCATAATTAGAATTTTCCTAATCACCCAAGTCATATTGATTTGGAGATACTATTTGTGGAAGTACTGATATTTCAACACTTAGCTACTCTATTAGATTTGCCCTGGTGAAATTAAGTTTGAAAGAGCAATTTAAAGGCAAAAAATACTTCATATATCTTATTCATAAGTTGTGCTTACTGAAAATAGCTTAGATAAGAAAATTCTCTAAAAGAAGGGTAAAGAGTTCCACCAGGCTGCCTCTTTCTGAACAAGGGCAAATTTGTGTCCCAGAAGGTGGGGACCATAGTGATAAAGAGCTAGTCATACCTTGATTCAAGTTCTGGTTTTACCGCTTTACCACTTAACCAGCTTTTGGACTAGTTAATAAGCATAATTCAGTTTTGGCCTCAATTTCCCATCTTTAAATAGATATGAGCAGTGGGTATAGTATTATTTACTTACTAAGATTGTTGCAAGGTCCCTATGTTTATTGCAGCACTATTTGTTATAGGTAAAATATGGAAACAACCCAAATGCCCAAAAGTAGATGGATCAAGAAGACATGGTATACATACACAATGGACTGTTACTCAGCAATCAGAAAAGATAAACTCATGCCAAATAAAATTAACAGGCAAAATTAACTATAAACCAGAGACATTCTGCAGGGCAGGAGGAGAGAGAGGGGTCAAAACTGGGGAGGGAAGAGCACTAGGGACTATGGCGATGGTGCTTGAGTATGCTGGTGGTGGGAATTTTATGGTGATTACACCTGAGAGGAGAAAGCATCCATTGTACAAGAAGGAAGAATGCTATAAAATATATATAAATTTTTAAAAATAATAAAACAAAAATAAAAATTATTGCGAGGATTAAGTGAATTGATACAGGTGTAAAATACTCAGCATGATGTAGGCACTTGGTAAGCAGTGTTAGTTAGTGTTACTACTGTCTACCATGAATATTTCCAAGTATAGCTTAAGAAAAACCAGCCTAAGTTTGTCTTACGAAACCAGATCAATTCTACCTCGTGAGCATGGATGGCTGTGAACATCAAAGAGAAATGAGTAATGAGTAATTGCTAGGCAGCCTTCTTTCTTTTTTCTGACTCTGGGTTAGGGAAGTAGTGAATTTGAAAGGGCTAAATGGCACCTTTCACTGGGACTTGTATAGTCTTTTAGGAGATGTGAAGGGAGAGAAGACAGGTAGGATAATGAATTACTAACTAAGGAATTGAACTTAAATCTGCAGGTACATGGATCAAACTCAAAGCAAATATTTCATCAGTGAAGTTCTCAGCCCAATTCTTTTCCACACATTTGTGTGGGAATGGCTTAGGAAAAATTGAAGTTCTGTTTATTAAATCCAATAGGAACAAAGCAGATATATGAAATAAAATGATTTACTTTGGGTTGATAAAACTGACAGCTAAAGTTCCTTCTAACTCTAATAGTTTACCAAACTATTTGAACAATTGAATGGAACTGCCATTGTTTTAAGATTAACTTTTGGAACACAAAGGGAAGTTTTTTGATAAAAGTTTCCACAATCAAGGCCCTGCCAGTGACGCTTACATCTTCGCATGTCTGGGTGACCTAGCACTACAGAGACACTTTATGCATGACCGCGTGCCAAACATTATGACTCTGAATAACATGCAAGTGGAAATGAAATGTAGAAAGCATCAGCTCCCTCATTCTGTCAGATTTCTTAGAAATAAATAATATCAGTAGTCAATGTTCTTTTTTACAGTAGATGGACCCAACCAGCTAGCAGAAAGTTGCTATTTTCCAAAGACTACTTTATTCTTACTCAAAACTGTTTCCTTTTTCCTATAGTGAATTTCACATTTCCATGTGTGCTTCACTTTCTGAATTAGAAGTCCCCGAAGACCTGTTCTTTTTTTATTACTTAAATAGTAAGCATACGCCTTTATTTCTTTGTCAGCCAATATGGGTGGGTTAATTTTTAATAGAGACATGCGACACTATGTACAGAGTTCTTTGTGACAAGACATGTGACTTACTTAAAAATCCCTTTCCAGGGGATGGTCTAGATATAAAAACATTTATTTTAGGTGGACCTTTAATAATGAAAATCCAACTTGAAGCCTCAAATCTGTCCTGTTTTCTCTTGGAATAACTTTCTAGCGATATCCTTGTATAGTGTCATTCTTTGGAATTACTGGTTAAAATATAAAATGCTTCCCATACTAGAAATTGTGAGTACATCCTCAAGCCTGACTCTATACAGGTATATCATTGGACATGCAATCATATACTATACTTCTCTTACTTGGCTCTTTCTGTTGTTTTTTTTTTTTCCTAGTCAATTATCAAAGCAGAAGATAATTTTCCATTTTTAGGTCATTAAAAGCTAAAACAGATTGTTGGTTTTATTGACTATTTAGATACATTAAATTGTGCACTATCTGTAATGTTATA